TTTTTTCCTCTTTTCTGTGTAAATGTAGGTAGCTTTCCCAGAATCTCCAGAAAGGGGTGCTGTTTCCAATCAGAAACAGCAGGGGCAGGCCCTGGGCCCTTGACCCTCTGTGCTCTTTGGAATTCAACTGGGACTTAGTTCTCCGGGATGCGGATGCTTGGGGGGATTGTGTCTGCCAGTTCTGTAGCACTGTAGCACTGTCCTCCCATTGTTCATCGATTTGCTCGAGTGGGCCCAGTAACGTCTCCATTGTGAGACTTGTTACTGTGTTTGGCATATTGATGACATTATGGGTAGCTTGCCAGGCTTTGCCGGGCAGGCAAGATACTCTCAGTAGCTTGCTGGGCTCTCCGAGAGGGACGGAAGAATAGAACTCGGATCGGCCTAGTCGGCCACGTGCAAGGCAAACACCCTACCTGCTGTGATATCACTCCAGCCAGTTCTATAACCCCTGCCTAAATGGGAACCTTGAACCTGCGTGCAAACACCCCACTCTAGGACCACACTCAGCTGAAATAGAGCCCCCAGGCCTCTTACATCCATAAAGACACGTGAGGTTTGGTTTTCCGAATCCTCTAGCCTTGCTGCCTGAGCTGGGGCTGTTGAAATTGGGAGAGAAGACCAGCCCTTCCACATCTATGTGTCAGTGTTCAAGTAAGGGGAGCCGGGGTGGGGGGGGGGGTCTTTGTACAACATGAAGAATGTTACAGACATTTTTCTTTTTTTTTTCCCATGTGGCAGTGTCTACCAAACATTGAGTACTCAGGAGTTCGTTTTTTTTTCCAAACTTTTATTTTTCAAATTGGGGGTTGTGGATGGTGATCACCATCAGGCAGTACTCGGGGACTACTCTTGACTGTGTTTGGGGTCACTCATGGTAGTGTTCAGGGGACTGTGCAGTACCGGGGATCCAATGAAGATTAGTTGCATGCAAGGCAAGTGCTTTCATCCCTATACAATCTCTCTGGCCTCAACTTTTAAAATTACTAAATGCCATGCATGTGGCCATACTCAGTTATATCCCTAGCAAAATATATGGTCCGCTGAACACCATCAGGAGTACCTGAGTACCTGATCCCTGAGTATAAATTACAATTATTATGGCATATGCCCACATGGAAATTCTCTACAACTTTTTTCCCCATTAACAAGGATGATGAAGAATAAAGGTAGTAACTATCCTAACTCGGCTACTAAAACATAATGATGTCTTTTTTTTTTTTTTTTTTTGCTTTTTGGGTCACACCCTCCCGTTGATCGTCGATTTGCTCGAGCGGGCCCAGATGCACAGGGGTTACTCCTGGCTCTACACTCAGGAATTACTCCTAGCGGTGCTCAGGGGACCATATGGGATGCTGGGAATCGAACCAGGGTCGGCCACATGCAAGGCAAAAGCCCTACCTGCTGTGCTATTGCTCCAGCCCCCCAATGATGTCTAATTATTATTGTTAAATACTTAGATTTATTTCCTTCTAGCCCCTTCCCTATGACACTAATTGTTTTGAACATGGTCGCGCTCCTAAGGAACATTCCATCTTTGTATGCTGCCTTGTAAGCATTTCTGTGATTCGTTGAAGGATTTTTTTCCCCATAAGCAACTTTATTGACTGTAAATGATGAGTCACGGTTACGGTCCTCCCATCGATTTGCTCGAGTGGACCCAGTAATGTCACCATCGTGAGACTTGTTACTGTGTTTGGCATATCGAATACGTCACAGGGAGCTTGCCAGGCTTTGCCATGCGGGCGAGATACTCTGGGTAGCTTGCCGGGCTCTCCGAGAGGGGCGAAGGATTCGAACCCAGCTCGGCTGGGCTCGCTGCATGCAAGGCAAATGCCCTACCGCTGTGCTATCGCTAGGGCTTAAAAAAATAAGTTCATTCAGCTCCTCATCAATGATTCTCTGCATTTTCCTGAGCCTCTGTCTAAATCTAGAGGAGGGCCTTGCCCTGTGTCTGGGCAATGCCACCCATCCTGATGTGCCTTGCAGCCATGGTGCTGAGTCTGGGCCCCAGCAGTTACAGGGAGACCCCAGGGCCAGGTGGTGAGTGATACCCTGAACTCTCCCTAGTGCAGACCTACTCCTGCGTCCACGGACCGGCATGTGGCAACAGCTGCAACCTCACTCAGCCAGGACAGACTTGGGATTTGACTAGCAGAACTGGGATACTAGGACTGTCGGCAGGTTTTACTCCACACACTAAGAAGCTGACTCCAGCTGCTTCATCTCCAGCATATGTTTCTGTCTGCTCCTAGTGATTGATTTTGGTGAGGTTCAGCAAGTGCTTCTTCCCTTTGAAGAATGTATTGTAATGATGGTTTAAGATGGCCCCTGACATGGGCTGTAAGACAGAAATCTTTATGAGGGTTATTGAAGAAAAACCCTTTTATGTGCAAGAAGAATTTGGATGAATTCCTATATCCTGTAATTCATATTCTGGAAATAGAAGTTGATGTATTGATTATTTTTTGTGGGAGGGGGGGAAGGTGGGCCACACCTGTAGTTGCCCTGGCTCTGCACTAAGGAATCGCGCCTGGCAGTGCTCAGGAGACCATATGGGATGCCAGGATTGAACCCAGGTTCGCTGCATGCAAGGCAAATGCTCTAGCTGCTGTACTATTGCTCTGGCACCTGATGTATTTATTTTGATTTTTTTCTGTTCTTAATTTCTTTTTTTTATTTTAAATTTTTATTAGTGAAACACCATGAGGTACAGTTGTAGACTTACAATTTTTTGTGCTTGGGTTTCAGTTATACAACGATCCAGTACCCATCCCTCTGCCAGTGCCCATTCTCCATCATTTATGATTTTTTGTCATTTGATATCTAAAAAAAAGTTGGAGTCTGAGGAAGCGGTTCGAGTAATAGAATGCCTGACTGGCATGCGAGGCCCTGGTTCGATTTTCAACAACACATGCCACCTCTGGTACCACCTGTTGTGGCTCCCACAACTGTGCTGTTGCTACTGTTTTTGTTGCTTTGCGGGGACCACACCTGCTGAGCTCAGGGCTTACTCCTGGCTCTGCACTCAGAGATCAAACCTGGCAGTGTTCAGGGGACCCTGTGTGACGCTGGGGATTCAGCCTGGGTCAGCTGTGTGCAAGGCAAGTACCTGATCTAGCTCTGGCTCCCACAAAAGTGTGTGTTTTTAAAGTTTTTAGCAGTATATAGGGATAATAAAATTTGTTTGCTATCTTAAAGAAAAAAAGTGGTGAGAAAAACAAAGAAGAAAGCTCAGTCAGTGGCAATACTTTAAACTGGGACATACGGGCGTTTGCCTTGCACGAGGCCGACTCGAGTTCGTTCGATCCCCGGCATCCCATATGGTCCCCCAAGCACCGCCAGGAGTAATTCCTGAGTGCAGAGCCAGGAGTGACCCCTGAGCATTGCTGGGTGTGACCCAAAAAGGCAAAAAGAATGTCTTCCTAGGGGATGGAGCAATAGCACAGTAGGTAGGGCGTTTGGGGTAGGGCATTTGTCTTGCACGCAGCCAACCTAGGTTCAATTCCCAGCATCCCATATGGTCCCCCGAGCACCGCCAGGAGTAATTCCTGAGTGCCGAGCCAGGAGTAAACCCTGAGCATCGCTGGGTGTGACCCAAAAAGCAAAAATAAATAAACAAATAAATAAATAAACTGGGACTCAGGTGAAATCTTTATGTGACATAAACATCATAAGAAAACACACAGCTAAGATAGATAGTGGCAATAATTTGTCTATATTGGGTCATTAACTAAACTACAAGACCTTTTAAAAGCAATTAGTAAATATCCTAAAAGGTCTCCAACATAAATATTCAGGTGTAGAAATTATTGATGCACTAGAACAAAAGCATTAGGTACCATGATGAATGAAGATCTATTTTGGGGCCAGAGTGATAGTACAGTGAATACAGTGCTTTCCTTGTTGACCTGGGTTCGATCCCAGCCATCTGCCATCTCGTGGTCCCTTGAGCCCACCAGGAGTAATTCCTGAGTACAGAACTAGAAGTAAGCCCTGAGCATTTCTGAGTGTGGCCCCCTAAACTAAAAACAAGACAAACCAAAAAAAAAAAAACCTGTTCTGTTTTACTATAATAATTATTCAGTGATTCTCTTAAGATGCCTCCAAAGAAGGAGTGCAGCCACTAATGAAGTACCTAATAGCGCAGTCTGAATTGGACGGCATTAATTGATGGAGTTTCTTAAGAGGAGAGTAAGAACCATGTACCATGTAGTCAGGGCCTGGAACTGTAGCTCAGCAATAGAGCATTAGCATTGCATGTGTGAGGTCCTGGCTTAGATCCCTGGCACTGCAAAAAAAAAAAAATCAGAATTGTATGACAGTCCTGCTTACCGAATAACTAGGAATGGATTATTTAGATCATAGTGTCATATTTCATCATAATAACGAGTATCCTGTTGTGGATTAAAAATTCTCAAAATGTTTCATTTCTAGTTTCTCCTCCTTTTTGTAGGGTAGGAGCATACCCAGCTGTGTTCAGGGCTTACTCCTGGCTCTGCACTCAGGGACCCCTCCTAGCAGTGCTCAGGGGACCAAATGTGATATCAGGATTGAGGCAGGGTTGACCACATGCAAGGCATGAGCCTTGTGTTCTGTACTATGTCCCAGACCCCTATATTTGTCTTCATTGTCTTCAAAACGCATCATTGGTGAAAGCATATCTGGTTGCCTCTGTTCCTCCCTTGAGTCAGAGAAGACCTGGATCTTCTGGAAGTTGTTCATTGATCATTATTGTTGACCCAAATTCATCTTCCAGTAAGTTTGACTTGAAAGTTTTCAGTGAATTGTGCTGAGCCTAAAAATTCTCTCCAGACCATCACATCTGTTCTGTATTTACAAACTGAAATAACTACGGATGTCAAATGAAAGAAGATTCCATTTCCTTTAGAAAAGAAGTCTTTCTTTTTTTTTAGAAGTTTACATCAAAAATCTTTTTAGACCGTAAAGTTTCTTGTCACAGGATAGCTGATGTGTGACGACTGCGTTTCTTCCCCTAGTGCCATGCCAGACTGTTCTAGATTACTTGAAGACAGTGTTGCAACACCACAACCAGCTCCTGATCCCCCAGCCAGCTGACCAGCCGACTGAGGTGAGTGTCCATCAGTGTCCATCTAAAGCCAAGAATAGTTCCACTTGAAGTTCTTTTAGGGGAAGCATCTTCATGATTTATCCCTACAGACCAGAACAGATGCACTTGCAGAATGATAGTTTCAACTTGGAGGTTTACAGAAAAGTGACCTGAAAACATATATAAAATATAAAGAAAGATCAGGACATATTTAGCTTATAGAGTTGACTCCAGTGGAGTGGAGTGTTACTGAACCCACGTTAAGATTCTTGTCACTCTGCAGTCCATTATTCAAGTTAAAAATAAGGGGGGGAAGTTTATTTAAGGGCTATTAACCTGTTAAGATGGTGGACTCTGGTTCCCCCTCTGCCATCCTGTTCCCTTTCAGGTTGGTGGGGGGGGTGGGTTTCTACAAGACAGGTTGGGAAACTGAGTTCAGAGATGGTTAAGGTGATGGTAGAGCAAGGGATTCTGTCTCAAGGACATCCAGGCCAGGTTCAAGTTTGTGGATCCCTTGGCGTCTGTGGTTTGTGGATCCCTGAAGGAAGATCTCAGTGATTCATGGGTCCCTGGGGGATGGTGTCAGTGATCCGTGGACCCCTGGGGGATGGTGTCAGTGATCCGTGAACCCCTGGGGGATGGCATCAGTGGTCTGTGGCTCCCTGGAGGATGGTGTTAGTGGTCCCTGAGTCCCTGGGGACTGGCCTCTATTCCCTGACCAGCCGGAAAACAAGCCTTCTTCAGGGCCTGCAGATGACCTTGAAGGTTCCTTTCTGGAACTGTGCGAGAGGAACAAAGGAGTCCTTGGGCAGGAGAAGCCGCGGGAGTGCTCCCCAGGGCCTATGGTGGTGTTTCTCCCCCTGCTCCATCCAGGAAAGGACCAATCCACAGAGCATGAGAACATCTCCCAGGATGGAGGGGCAGAGATCCAGCCAGGGGAGAGAGAGATGAGGAGAGTCAGTGTGAGGAGCACGAGGGAGTCTCGTGCTTGTTCTCTCACAGCCGCAGAAGCAGAGGCTGCAGTGGCGTGGGTGATTCCCAGGGGTGGGAGCTACCAGCTCTCCTCCCCTCTGGTAGAGCCCAAGTTCCTTGAAGGCCCCTTCTAGGGCATGTTTCACCAGGTGTGATTTTTATATACTAAAATATTTGTCCTGCGGAGAAGCATTTTTCCCCTCTGGCCTCAGTGGGCAAAACCCCAGGAATGACAGAGTCGTTAAAACGTACATTTGGGGAGCTACACCCAGCAGTGTTCAGGGCGGATCCTGGCTCTGTGCTCAGGGATCACTCCTAGCAGTGCTCGTGGCATCAAGGATTGAACCTGGGTCAGCTGTGTGCCAGGCGAGCCCCCAACCCTCTGTGCTATTGCTCTAGAGTCTCTGGTTTGAATTTACGGGATATCCAGACTGTGGTTTGCATCTTCTGTTGTTTCATCTTAATGGACTTTCGCGCCTTGGTGTGGAGGAAGAAGCTCCACACCACCGATTCGTGTCCTGGATTGAGAACAACAGTTTGTCAACTAGAAATAAAGCCTTGGTGGCAGTTACCTAATGCTCCACATAATCCTTTCTGCTCCCAGCGGCTTTACTTGGGGAAACTGGAGGCCGTGGCCTCTCTCCTCCTCTTTGCCTAGTTGAAACCATCTTTTTATTTGTTTTTGTTTGGGGGCCACACCCAGCAGTGCACAGGGGTTACTCCTGGCACTGCGCTCAGGAATCACTCCTGGCAGTGCTTGAAGAACCATATGGGATGTTGGGAATTGAACTTGGATTGGCTGTGTGCAAGGCAAAGTACCCTACTCACTATGCTATCTCTCCAGCCCCAAAATCATCTTTTGTTTAGTTTTGGGGCAGCACCAATGATGCTCAGGGCTTATTCCTGGGTCAGTGCTCGGGGATTGTTCCAGGTGATACTCAGGGGACCATATGTGGTACTGGAGATGGAAACCAAGTTTGCTGCATGCAAAGTAAGCGTCCTGCTTGCTGTACTGTTGCATTGAAATTATCTTTAAATTCCATCCTGTGCTTTACACTCACACATAGTACCCGGATATCTCTGCCAAAGCATTGCCAGAACACATCACACCCCAGGTTTTGACGGCCCAATAAAGCAGAGTGGACAGAACAGTTCTAGGCCAGTTCTAAAACGGTCAGCAGCCTGACACCTGCTTGGTGGTTTCCCTAGGTCCAGCCTCACAGGTCAGCCCCATCCGCCAAATCCGAGCCTGTCCGCCCACCTTTCATAATTGCAGATGAGCTGTCTGTGGTCCGTTTCCCCACGTGGGTAGTGACTCCTTTTCCCAGCAGGGCATCTGCTGTGGCCGCCAGTGCCACCACCCACCCCCATGGTCTTTGGCGAGACCCTCAGTCCCCACTGGCTCCATCACTCACACCCCTATTATTCTCATGCCGCCAACGGCTTTTGATTCTCCTCCCTCCTTGCTCCTCTTTCTCCTTGCCCGGCCCGGAGCTCATGCCTTCTCTGGGCAGGTATGCATCTCACCTCACATGTGGCCCAGGTCTCACTGCATTAGCACTCTGATGCCTAGTGCAGAAGGCACTTCCAAAAGAGGGGCCTGGGCAGGTCAGGGGCCTAAGCCCCTCTAAGACTGTGGACATCTGCATCTTCTCTGCTCTCCTGTCCCATTCGCTCCCTCCCCGCCCCCTTCCCCCCTCCTGCACACACACACACACACACACACACACACACACACACACACATACACACACACACATCTGGTTCCTCCGGCACTGCTGAGCAGGACACTTGAAGAAGCACCCCAGCCCCGTGACCTTCCAATTGGTTATCCAGTCTGGGGACCCTGATTTTATCCCGTGGCACCTTAGTATCTTACTGTGCCATCTCCAGAGCTCCCTGTCCCCTTGGTCCTTTTTTTTTGGGGGGGGAGGTCACACTCCTGGCTTTGCACTCAGGAATCACTCCTAGAGGTGCTCAGGGGACCGTATGAGTTACTGGGAATTGAACCTGGGTCAGCCACCTGCAAGGCAAACGCCCTACCCTCCGTGCTACCACTCCAGCACCACCCCCCACCTTGGTCTTTTGTTTTGAGGGTTGGGTGGCCTCCCAAGCTGTGCTCAAACGATCCTGCCTAAAATCCTTTGGGTTTTTTTTGTTGTTGTTGTGATTTTGGTTGTGATTTTGGTACCCAGCAGTACTCAGGGATCACTCCTGATGGGGCTCAGGGGATCATATGTGGTGCCAGAGATCAAATCCTCGTCAGGCATGTGCAAAACAAGCTCTTTACCCACTGTACTAGCTCTCCAGCCCCTTAAAATTCCTTAATTTCTCTCTAAAATCAAGTCCAGATTGGATAACTTGACATTTCCATCGTAAAAAAGCACATCTGGGAAGACTCCTTCCTCCAAGAAGCTCTCCTTGGTTGGTTACACCCAACCTTCTATTTGTTTATCAGTCTAGGAAACGCAGTGAATGAATGCAGTTTCCATGAGATTTAAGTAACCTGTTCATAAACTAATTGAAGAGAATACATGATCACAGTTCCAGGAAATAATTGAGGAAATTTCCTCCGGACAAGATTATTGAAACTTTTTATTACCCATTGGCATCATTATGACTATTTTATTATTGTTTCAGGTGTCTTAAGCATTTTCTCATTAGTATTATTTACCACATTTTATTTCTATTAACTATGCTACAAGAGTGTGATGGACCTCACCCACAGTACAGGGAGCATTCTGAGTCGTGTTTGGGGTTATAAATTACTTCTTTTTTTTTTTCCTTTTTCATGAAGAAAATTACTTCAAAATGACTTTACGTGTTATGAAAGCTACATTTTACTCTGCGCTGCTCCGTCTCACAGAAGAACCCAGAGTCTCTGTGTGTGGATGTTTTCAGTGGGGGATTTGGCAGGAAGCTCCTTCCTTAGATGGTCAGTGCCTTCTGGGTACCTGCCCTCCAATGCCAGGGCTGAACTTGGAATTTGGAGGCAGAGTTCCAGCTCTGCTTTTGAACTTTGAGGCCTCGGGAGTGGATTGCACCTCCTGGGGTGCAATCCAGCTGGTGGGGGTGAAGGGAGTGTGGATAGCTCACCCACAGGAGCAAGAGCTCATAAAAGTGGGTCCAGGACTGGGAGGTGATGCAAAAAGCTGTGTGTCAGGGAGACCCAGGGCCTGTGCCCGGCACCATGTGGTCCCTGAATACCACTGGGTATGGTGCTGGAGCCCCGAGGTTCCCATTTCTTGCCTCCCTATCCTTCCTCCTCACCTCTGCCTGCACTGCCAACCTCTAGCCATCTGCCACCTGTTCTCATCGAGGGCCCCTGAAATGGCCACCTGGGCAGAGGAAACCTTGGGAACCTCGGGGCTCCAGCCTCACCAAATCAAAACATGAGCCAAAAGATTGTGTCAACTCGTCCAGACGCCTCGCAGATGATGATTCGGTGTCTGGAAGTGCCTGCCCAGCTTGCACCCGGCCACAAGTTCAAATTCCAGGTGCTCCACATGTGCTGGGGTGACAAAGACTGCCCTGTTGGTGACCCCCAATGAGAAAGGCCTGGAGGGGAATAATACAGTCCCTTAAAGACCTGCACAGGGGCTGGAGCGATAGCACAGCAAGTAGGGTGTTTGCCTTGCACGCAGCTTACCCAGGTTCGATTCCCAGCATCCCATATGGTCCCCCAAGCACCGCCAGGAGTAATTCCTGAGTCCTTGAGCCAGGAGTAACCCCTGTGCGTTGCCAGGTGTAACCCAAAAAGAAAAAAAAAAAGACCTGCATAGAGTCGCAGGTTCAGACCTTGCTTCTTCCCACATTTGCCAGCGTTATCCTGACGACGTTGCCTCCTGGGAACCCTGGCAAAGGGACAGGGAGAGGGATAGAACACAGGAGCCGATGATGTAATTTAGAGGTGCATAAACCATGCATGTGCGTGGCCCCAAATTTAGTTCCCAGCACCTCATGGCCCTCTGAGTAACACTGGGAACCGCCCTGGAGAAACACCCACCCCAACACATACACACACACACACACACACACACACACACACACACACACTCTGTCACTGTCACTGTCCTCCCGTTGTTCATCAATTTGCTCGAGCGGGCCCAGTAACGTCTCCATTGGAGACTTTGTTGTTACTGTGTCTGGCATATCGAATACGTCACGGGGAGCTTGCCAGGCTCTGCCGTGCGGGCGAGATACTCTCGGTAGCTTGCCGGGCTCTCCGAGAGGGGCGGAGGAATCGAACTGGGGTCGGCCATGTTGGCTGCGTGCAAGGCAAACGCCCTACTGCTGTGCTATCGCTCCAGCCCACACACACGCACACACACACACACACACACACACGAATTGAACTGTCCAGGCCAGTTGTTTATTGCCAGCATGAGCCCCTGATGACCTTGAATACTCTTGAGGGGCCTTTCCCCATTTACTCCAAAACTGCTTGTTCAGGGTTAAGGAAATGTTTAAACACAGCTGCGCAGTGTTTTTCTGAGAAGGATTACTAAGTGTCCTCACAAAGATCATAACCACGGGGGGCCTTTTCAAACTGAGGCTGTCAGAAGTCCTACCCACCCCCTCCCCACTTAGCGCTTTTACTGGCCCCTGGTCTTTGGGGATCTCCTTAAAGCTATTTCTTTTCAATTAGGGGCCATGCTGGGGGAGAGGGGACTATGTGGTGTCAGGGATCAAATCAGGGCATTTGGGCCCTACCCTCTGTCCTTTCCTGGAATTCTGCTTTACCAGCTTGGGTCCCCAAACCAAAAATGAACCTGATGAGCACTTTGCCCAAGGTCCAGGCAGACAGACAAAAAACTCTGTGTTTTGACAGAAGAGGGCCCAGGTGTAGAGAAACGGTCACCTGTCCTGAGCCCACTCTTAGAACACTACACAGCTGCCTGGGATGGGCTGTGTGGTGGGGATGGGCGGGGGCTGCCTTACCAGAAAACAGTGACAGTTATTAGCAAGATTCTAGGGCATGCATGCTTTGGACACGATTCCTGGTCAGAGACAACCAGTCCAGCCATGCTCCACTTCCCCCAGACCGCCCACTGCCCTGAGCCCTCCCTCGCCCACCCACTTGAGGGTCATCTCTGCCCCTTGCTCTCCCACACCCTGGCTCCCTGAGTTTTTGCCTGCACCTTGCTTCCCCATCCTTCCTCCTTGCCTCTCTTTCTGTACCACTAGGCTCTAGCCATGCCTCTCATCTGCCACTTGCTCTCATTGTGGGGCCCCGAAACGGCCACTTGGGCAGAGGGAGCCTTGGGAACTTCGGGGAGCTCCAGCCTCACTTGATCAGCTCAGGGCCCCAGGATGGCTTTGGCTCCCCGAGTCTCTTCTGTCTTAAAATCCTCATCATCCTTGGGGCTCGAGCGATAGCACAGCGGGTAGGGCGTTTGCCTTGCACATGGCCAACCCGGGTTTGATTCCCATCATCCCATATGGTCCCCCGAGCACCGCCAGGAGTAATTCCTGAGTTCAGAGCCAGGAGTAACCCCTGAGCATTGCTGGGTGTGACCCAAAAAGAAAAAAAAATCCTCATCCTTCCCGTGCCCTGGAGACACACGTTCTCAGGCCAGGCAGTGTGAGGCATCTTGCTCAGGAATGGCCTAAGTCCCGAAACCCAAACTGAAAGCCCAGCAATTTGATGAACGAACTCTGCATCTCAAAACTGACACCCAGGAAAGGGAATGAACTCAACAGGCAACATCTCAGAGAATGGGCCTGGCCTGTAGGATGCCTCTGGGTTCAGTTCCCAGGGCCTAGAGGAAACCAACCCAAAGACAACAAAAGAGAACTGAACTTGACCCAGCCACTGCTTGCTAGATTGGGGAAGCATGTTGACTTCTGCGCTGTTTGTCCATCTTGGTGCTTCACTGACCAGACCATTTTACTTATTTTTTTAAATAAAAGTCTTATCAGACCCAAACAGTGCCAAATTTACAACCTGTAGTAAATCTGCAGAGTTGTAAAACTCAGTGTGTTTTTCCTTCTTTGTTTTGTATACTTTAATTACTGGGGTAGAAGTACATTAAAACTGAGATCATAGGTTAATTAATTTGTCCTGGACCGTAGAATTTTATGGACAACCAGAACTAAAGTAATGGTGGTGTCGGTGCAATTGACTAAACATGGCTTATGAATGTTACAGAAATTCCTGTAATTAGTCCCACTGCAGCTATTTAGCTTGGGATTTTTAGAGCCGACATAAATTATGAAGGTGAACAGTAAGAAAAATTTTGAGGTGACATAGTGGCATTTGCAGAACTGTAGTTGGAGAAAGCCTGTTTAGCATTATTATTCGTGATTTTTTTTTTTGCCTCCACAATTCCCCTTTCTTTAATTCACTTTTCAGCCTTGCTTCCTCTGTAAAGCCCCGGCTCTAGGTGTCAGACATATCACATGAGCCTCAGCTTATGAAAACACACCCCAGCATCATTCCCGAAAGGGCCTCCCCACCAACCAGAGGATGAAGATTCTTGTGTGATGGCACTCTTCAAAGTCATTTTTTGCATATTTTAATAGATTGAAAAGGAAAGTTACAGGTTATATTTAAATAGTATTCCCTGTCATTGGATCTTGACACATTTTAACCTACCTGTTAAAATGCAAGTTATAAATAGCTCCTCTTTCAAAGGTGTTCATTATACCTCATTGGCTCTTGTTATAGAAAATGCAAATGTAATTTGAAAAGTGCCCGTTCTCAGTATGAGCAATTACTTGTGCTCTTCAATACCTGGTTCATTGTCAGCAGAGCTGCCTTGGTTAAAGAAGCAGGTTTGCCTTTGAAATGGAGATGTCCTGGGCTGCTGGCTGCCAGGCTCCCGGGTAATGAGAAAATCCTTCACTTTTCCAGGGAAGCAAGCAACTGTTGAACAACTATCCTGTCTACATAACGAGCAAACAGTGGGATGAGGCCGTCAATTCTTCAAAGAAAGACGGGAGACGGCTCCTTCGCTACCTCATCAGATTTGTTTTCACAACCGATGAGCTTAAGTACTCATGCGGCCTTGGGAAAAGGAAAAGGTCAGTGCAGTCAGGAGAGACAGGTCCCGAAAGACGCCCTCTGGATCCAGTTAAAGTAACATGCCTCCGAGGTACCGCATCCTTCCGTCAGCGCGTCCCATCTGTGATCTCATTTCACCGCATTGGCCGTGCCTTTCCCCGTGCAAGTGTTCAGCCTTGATTGTATTTTGGTCAAACCCTCTCCGCGTCCCGCAGAGCCCTTAGAGGCTTCACGGTGTGGCCTTGATGCTCCCGTTCAAAAGCGCCTGAGCGTTGCCTAGCTTCTCATGGTTCATGCATCCTGTGCAGATGTTCTTGGTTTCCGGGAGAGGGGCCTGCTCTGGTGCAATCTGAGAGTAGGGAGGAGATGCACCGAGGAAAGATGGGGGCTTTTTAGCATTTAGGAAAGTGACAGGCCCCATCTCCACGTGCAGCTCGTGTGCCCCTGTCTCCACTGCTAGCTACGTTCTCAGGAGTTCCTTGCTCCCAATTCATTAAATTTCAGGAAACTTAGGGCCTAAAGCATAGCTTTCCTTGTCAAAGGTACTATTAGTGTTTTTGAAGTGTTCTGATTTTAAAGACGGCTTAGAGAATATTGTTTCATCGGTGGTTATACATCAACCAGTGTGTGTGCAGGCGGTAGGTGGGAGGAGGCAGAATCTCGGGGTGTCAGGGTAGATCAGCGGTGCAGATAAATAGACAAACAGTACTATGAGGATATCAATAAAACAGTATGCACCCCTGAAAAAGCTCTCCCAGGAAGCACCCATGGGAACAGGTTTATTTATTGCTGTGACATTTTTATTGCTTGGAAAGAATCACTGAGCGACTCCAGGCATGGGTGAAAGTGTGGCCTGGGAAAGGAAGTCATAGCAGAGTCCCTCCAGAGACGTGTATTCACCTCCATAAGAAGCAGGGAGCCTCGCTCCTAGCTTCCTCCTGGGACCCGCCCTGTGGTTCCACAAGTGGGTTGGGACACAGTGAGCTGGTACCTGGGAGCAGCATAGACTCCCCCTTCCCAATGGAACTGAAGAGCTGCATTGTGGATCCCACCCCTTACCACTTTGTGAGTCCAAGTAAGGGGGGTCACGCTTGCCTAACAAACCAGCTGCAAGAGAAGCGCCAAGAATCATTGGCACAGGTGCTTCAGGGTGCCCCCTGTTGGCCAGTCTGAGAGTTTCCTCCCAGGGACGGGAAGGACATTTCCAGGATCTGTTGGCCTTCCAGGTCGTGCCCCTATTGCCTTTACTTCCCACCTACTTCAGAGCCACCAGTCAGCTCACCCAGAGAGCTCTGAGGCAGTAGTGAGCTGCGGGAGGGGGTGCACTTTGCTGAAAGACCACTGCATATCCTGGGGGTAAGTTCCCTCAAAGCAGATCCCTTTCCTGAAAGTCTTCCACATTGCACCTTCCCCCTAGCGGCTCCGTGGACCTGGGCAGTTCTCACGCCTCCCACAGCCCCAATACTGCCGGCCGCCCTCGGGTGGCTGCAATCCAGGCCAGATTCTGCCTTCCCAGGGCGTGACTCCATCATGGGCTGGCTGTGCATGCGACTCCATCATGGGCCAGTGTGAACAGCCCAGGGCGTGCATGGGTCTCTGCTAGAGGCTGAGACCAGGCCCAAGACCGTGATGGGGTTCCCCTCACCCCCAGGGATCTGGCCATTAGTTCTGAGAGCTGGGTTGCCAAGGAATTCCACCCCACCATGGACACTGGAGTGAAGGGAAGCGGGTATCTCTGACAAAGGTGCCTACGCTTAGGCTGTCCCCTGGAGGTGTGTAATACTAAAGAGACAAGGGTCTGTGACAGTGCATGCCACCTGAAGTTCTTAGTCTTGGCTGCCCCTTGAGGTCAGTCCTGCTGCAGAGGGGTGGCCAGCGGCAGCAGAGTGCTGGGCTTCACACCCTTGGACTCTCATTCCTGGCATCCCGGGAATTGAGGAACCCAAGCAGATAGAAAGATCACTTTTGTCCTGGTAGCCAGGGAAATCGGCGAGGAATGGAAGACAGAGTCTCTGGCTTTGGAAGGAGCCAGTGTGCTACTGAGGAGGGTTTAAGGACAGTTGGGAACAGCTGTAGGAACCAGGAGACGCCTAGGGTAAGGCTTGGTCTTGGGGAGCCCCAGGCTGGCCAGGACCTGAGTGGGGGTCTGGTCCTTAGTGGTTCCAAGACCTGCAGCCCCAGAGAAGCATCTGGTCTGTGGAAGTAGAAGCACTTGAAAGTGTATTTTCTGGGGACCAAACTGGCTGGAATTGACAGAGAAATGACCACATTTTCCCTCCCACCAGAAGCGGTGTCTTTGGATTCGCTGAAGAAACTGCAGCGTGTTCATAAGAGTCATCTTGAGCCTTGGGTCTTAGATTCTTTTTCAGAATCCTCGTATCCATCCGATTGCAAATGCTTACGGTCAGATTGCTGAGTAAAGATCCTCTCCTGATGTCCTACATCCCCTGTACCCCAGAACACAGGAAGGGCTAATTCATTGGACCCCAACCCAGGGGAGGCCAAGTTTGTGTGTTATTGGAGTCATTGCTGTTTTCAAAGTCTTCGCTTTTCTAGGCATGCTTCTGGCTTCCTGGGGAATTGAAGTATCTAGAGGAAACCTCCTTTAGAGCTTGTCAAGCCATGTAGATTTCACAGTTAGTGAGCTGTATCGAGCATAGGACAATTTACACACATGACTCCAGTGGGCAGTGTCCTGCTTACCCAGATAGTGTTATTTGGTGGCACTGCAGTCCACAGAGCTGCAGTTGGTTAAGGAACGCCCTGCTATTGACGCTCCCCCGGCTCGCTCCTGCAGAGTGAACATTCCAAAAACACGAGCAGGTAACAACAAGGGGCTTAAAAGGACAGAAAACTTCCACCTGAGAGAGGCTGGGCGCTCTCTCTTTGTCTTAGGAATCAGATAGGCCTTCTCTTCATGACTGTGGCTCTCCCCAGAAATAGAAAAATGTCCTTGAAATAAGTTGGGTCTAGCAAGTGACATCATCATGGCATGAGTGGGGTTTCCCATAAAGCATTTTTCCCAGAGCTTTCGTTCAAGTGTAAGCACCTGTCCTCTCGTCTCCTGCCAGACCAGCTCTCTCTGTTTTCTCTCTTTGTCTCTCTCTCTCTTTTCACTGTTGTGTGTGTTCCCACAGAATTCATTAGGATGCACTGTACCTCCAACCCTGACTGGTGGATGCCCTCGGAGGAACAGATCAACAAAGTGTTCAGCGATGCTGTGGGCCACGCCCGGCAGGGGCGCGCCGTGGGGACTTTCCTACACAACGGTGGCTCATTCTATGAAGGCCTCGACCCCCAGGCTTCCCAGGATGACGTCTTCAACAAAAACTCCCAGGATGCGTCTGGGGATTAGAGGACAGCTTCTTTCCACTGTAGTGGCTGGTCCTTCTCAATGGGGTCCTATTGTGATGTCTCGTTAAACCACCCCTGTAGAGCCCAAATCATGTCATTCTGTCAGATTTTTCACAAGCTCAACCTTCATCTCTTGACCAGTGGCCATAGTTCCCCTCTAGAAACCCATTTGGGAGTGGTTATGGAGTCTACTGTTTCATAATGCTGTATTATATATTTAAAAATGGGGAGGATATCACAGTTGATTTTAAATGATTAGCAGATGAAACTTAAGGGGTGAAGGTGTGGGGACCAATAGATCCACCCTTGGTCACCTGTCCAAGTTTTTCAAGTGAGCGCTGCTTCGCAGAGTTGGGCCCCACTGACTTTGAGTGAATGTTCCTGCCCACGGGAAAAGGTAGAGGCAGAATTATTGAAAGGGACAAGGAATAGACATTCTCTTCTCTCAATTTCAGTAATTTGCTGTTAACAGTTTCCAAAGATGTGTTTTTCTCAACAAACTCTTGGGAAAGGGGGCGTCCCAGATTGTCTCTACATGGACAAAAGGTCTTATTACTACAGAGAAACCAGAGCACAGGCTCCTCCTCTGTAGGATTCCTTACAATCTCGTTTTGTTCTTTTTACTTCAGTTATTCCTACAAAAAAGAATATTTTTATGTTGATCAGTAGGCACTGTGTTATCTTCAGTACGTGAGTTCATAAAGTAATTGTTCCCATTATGTCAGTCAAGAAACCTCCAAAGATCCAAACCCGTTTTTCAAAAGCTTTCGTATAAACATAGATCCACAGTTTCCTTAGCCTTAAAGTAGGCTTTGTTGACATAATACCAAAGTGATGGGTTGAACAATGAGGATTTCAACCAATTGTTGTTTTGGTGCACTCAAGACCAAACAAGTGGGGTGACAGACAGTACTCACTGAATTGACCAGATGTTCTGAAACTGCTGAGACACTGCTTCAAGGCCAGTCTGGGGACTATGCAATGGGCATGTCTGTAATTTCTTTGAAATGTGAGGATCTTTCTGTACTGAGTAGATACTGGGAATTTGCATCAACTTAAATGTTTTCTGTTGCCATTCATGGAACTATCTCAGGCAGTGCTGTCAGATTCCTGCTGCCAGTATTCCCCACAGTGACAGACTGGGGGCTAAGTCATCTCAGAGCCATACTCTCACCTTCTTTTCCCTGGTGAGTGTGTGAAATGAGCAGTGTCCGTGAAAACCTTTCTAAGAATACGTTAGAGTTGGGGTCAGTTTCTGAGTGTCTCAGATTTGGAGATCGCGGAGTGTTTTCCCTCACCAAACACAAGTCCAAACACTACGTTCTTGGGAGAGCAAAGGACTCTATGCCCAGGGCTCACCGAAGGCCATCAGTATGAGTAATCAGCAGGGCAAAGGTTATGGAGATATATTTTAAAGTGTAGGAGCATTCATTTATAAAGAGTCTGTTGGGCCATTTTGTCAGCCTTTGTGATTTTTTTTAATTTGAACTATTTGGATTTACTATTTTCCTAATACCCACCATAGGCTGAGCCTTAGAAATAAGTTGAGTTGGTTTTGGTTTTTTGTTTTGTTTTGTTTTTTGCTTTTGCTGTACTCCTTTCACCTACTGTAAATTTGACATTTATACAGATGATCCTCTCTCAGATCTGTTGCCCAGTGGAGGGAGAACCTTACTACTGGAGAAATTTTACTAAAATCTGGAAGTGAAAGAATTGATACAAGCAGATGCAGCGTTACCCGCTAAAAATGTGAGAGGAATATTTTGGCCGTCCAGGACAAGAAGATACTTCTAGAAGGATTTTAGAGGTCTGCGAAATCTGTCTCCTAAGATTCTTTGGCTGAAGGAACTGTTGGCCTGTAGAAACACTCCTTCTCTAAAACCATCTATCTTCCCTTTTCTCTTTTGGGTATCAGACATAATTATTCTTACTGCAGAGCCCAGCACGTCCTTTTTATCCTAGAACCGCAATTTTTAACCACTGGTTTAAAAGAACAAATTCTGTGTCTCTCACTTTCAGTGCAAGCTTAGAAACTTTGCGTGTCTTCTCGGGCTGTGTTGGAAACTTGCTGTGCTACACACAGGCCTCATTCCTCCTCCACAGCTTTCTGTGTTGACTTGCTTTAAGATGAAGTTGTCTGCCCTGCTCCTGGAGGGCCCTTCTGAGGGCCCCGAATGAGTATTCCCGGGGAGAAGTCTCCTGGGATAGGTACTGCCTCCTCCCCACCCAGCCACCCAACCTCTGCCCACAAGCCATGTGGTCTGATACAACCTTTGATCCCAAAACATGCTTGGTCTCTCCCCTGTACACACACTCCACCTTTTCCAGGTATACTGTTATCAGCTTTTTTCCAGTATTTTGTGAGTTTTGAGATGTTGGAACTACATTTTGGCCATGCAGGGTCTAAAAAAAGTGACCTGTAGACTCTGTAACCACTGTCATCCAGTTCCCCTTTTTTGTTGTTTTTGGTACTGAGGACCACTCCCGGTGATGCTCAGGGGCTACTCCCAGTTTAGTGCTCAGGAGTTGTTCCTGGGATCAAATTTAGGGCTTTGCATACTCACAGTACCAACTCTATAGACAGTAGCCCAGATTTGGGGTCTACAGGTCCATGATGTCTATCTTTTTCTTCCACTTTTAATGACTCGTGCTTTCTTCTGCCGAAATCAGGACGGGTGGAGCATTGTGTATGATGAAACAGGACCACCTCCAGAAGCACCACTGTGTACAGCCCTCATTTTGACTCCATCCGTCAGGTTTTACTCTAGAACCTCAATCTCTTGCCCACTGACTACCTCTTTAGTTCTTGCTTAGAGTCCTGTCATTTTTTTTGAAATGGATCATTCTTGAATCTCTTCTTCTTTAGAAAAGACGTGAACAGTTCTGATTGTCCTCATTCTGCGCTCTGTAGTTCTGATGGTTCAGATCTGTGGGATTTTTGACAGCAGTTCTATACGAAGTCTTAGAAATGTAATGAGTTTTTGCATATATGGTGCATGTATGGTGAATGTGGCGACACTTGCCAAAACTGCTTGGCAAAACATGTCAAAGCAGATGCTTAAGTCAGAACTCTAATGTAAATGTGTCTAAACAGCACTGTGTATCATTATGATGTATTTCTGTAAACATAGTGAGGGCTGCTTTCAGCCTTACTGGATAAAAATAGCCAGTGAGTACTGGATAAAAATAACCCCCCTTCACTTGGCGTAATGGAGAAGCCTGTCACCCAGCTGATGGCCCTCTGCAAATGTCCTTATGTCACTAGCCAATGGCATTGGTTCTTTGTGAGTTCTTTTTTTTGAGAGAGTGAAAAATTGATTGCAGGCAAGATGAAGTACAGAGTAACCTACCCAGACTTGCTAGTACATAAAACTCAAAACTGCTCACTGGTATGTGTATAATCTCAGAGAGCACTTTCACCCTTAACAGTATATTCCAGTGCAAGAAAAGAGACAAGACTTCTCTCATTTAAGAACCCGGTTTGGTCCTTTTGGCTACCAGTAGCACTTAAATCAGCACATCTTTGCGGAAAAAGTGACTGGCTTCATTTTTCTCTCCATACTACCCCTGGTGGCTAATGAAAAGGCAGTCACAATCAAAAGACATCTGTAAGGAGATTTTCAAAACTCTATTTATTCTCAGAATCAGTGGCCCAGTAGAAGATAGCCAGGTGGGTCCTGTTGTAAATCTCTTCCTGTTCATCCCAAACCACTGACAACCACAGTATTGATTGAATGGTCCATGCTTGTTGCATCTGATGGACCAGGTACTTTGGTAAGCACTTTAATGCATACTCTGATTTTAATCCTTGGAGACTGTTACTGCTCTTATCCCCATTTATAGATGAGGTCACTGCCTTGTCACTTTAGAAGGACCACTTTAGGGTCAGTTAAGTGGAACAGCTAGTTCTGTTGTTACAGTTTGTATGGTTTTGACTGGCTTCCCAATAGTCAAAGCAGAGTTTCAAAGCCTGTCAGTCTATGCTTTGGAACGGATTTGTTGTTTAAGTCCTACCACGGAGGGGATGTTAATATTTGTGTTCTTAAACAACACATTTCAGATATGTTGATACTAAAATGGAAGCATAGAATGTACATTCTCTGAGAACTTCCAAGGTTCTGCATTAGGATAGACTTCCATTATACATTACAATGAAGTCTAGAAAAACATGGTAAAGCACTATTTTAGGTGACTTCCTAGGTTCCCAGTAGAATTAAAAAGTGGGGGGAAGATAAAAGGGATATTTGAATTCCGTGACATGATACTTCTGAAAATCCCCTAGACAGGAGGAAGGGCATCAAGCTTCTCTTATCCAATGTTCCGTTCCGTTCTCTGTTGTTTTTGTAGCCTTAGACTTGATTGACTATGGAAAGAGAGGGTTTTCATTGATGCTGTCACTGTGAGAAACGTCCTGAAGACGTGGTAGGAAAGTAGAGTCATGTGCTGATTCTTTCCTGTAATCTGGGCTTGAACATCTGGCTGTTTAAGTTCAAGAGCATGCCAAGGCCTTGAGCACCTGGCGTGAGCTGCTTAGGAACAGGGCATGCCAGACCACAAGGTAGGTCTTGTACCTCTCCAGGTCACAGGTCCAGCCTGACTCTGCCCAGTTTAAGCATTGCTTTACTGTCTCCTCTGAAACTTCATGTAGCAGCCTAACACTGGGGCCAACTTGCCTTTACTCTGTTTTCTATGATAAACACTTGTGGAGAAACTGTGACAAATCCATTGATCTTAATATTTTTACTGTTGGAGTCTTGTTGAATCTCTATGAATAATTTCTATTTGATGGTACCTGTAGAGTTCATACCCACTAGGGATATGTTAATAAAACTATAAATGCATAGGATAATATAGAATAGCAAGATTTTTTGTGAACAATTTATATAGAAGAGTAAGTTGTTTTTTAAGTGTTAGACACATTTCTTTTAGGATCTTAAAATGTTATAAGGGTTTTTTAAACATTCAATATTTTTAATTATAAGAAACATTTGTTACTAGAGCCAATTATTTCAGGTGTTCTAATTGGAGTATTGATTTTATTACCTCATACCTCTAGAATACCACATCTTCTGTTGGAAATAAAATTGCACAATAAATGTTGAGTCTCTGTTAAGTGTTGTAACTTGCTTTGTTGCATCTTTGACTCTCACTAGGGAAGCTTTTAAAAAATATACCCTCCCACGCACCCACCCATGCCTAACACCAAGGCTTTTCTGTTTGACTCTCAAGTGCCAAGAAAATGTTCT